CCCTTCCCTTCCCTTCCCTTCCCTTCCCTTCCCTTCCCTTCCCTTCGGTGTAGGAGCAGTGAGGGCTGTTTGAACAGGCAAATTCCTCCCCAGATGGTGCAGTCCCCACCTCTGCTCCTTCTGGTGTGTGGCTAAAGGTCAGACTCACCTCTTCTCCTGCACATCCATGGCCATGTGGAGCCATTGCTGTGCTGGTGCGCTCCAGCACTGGAGTCATGAAACCTCCATTTAGCAAAGGGAGGCAAATAGTTTGCTGATGGATGAATGTAATTCTAACTATTTAAAGATGAAAGAAACTAAGAGGCCAAGTTCTTGAAGTGTTAAATGGATTTTTTCTCAGTGTTGCAGCTAAGCCTTCTTACTGAGAGGCTTGGCATTTTTAAAATATAAAATAAAAATTGCCTGGAACACCAAACATATGCTTCTAGTGAGTTTCTTACTACCTCCCACACACATGTGCCCGGTTTAGTTAGAAGTGCCATTCAGTATTTTCACTGAATGTTCTAACCTCAGTTCCAAAAGAATGAAACCTGAAAAAATATTTACTCTAATTGTGAATGATTGGCACCATTTTAGAAACTCACTGTAAATGCAAATCAAGACTCTTTTATGAAACACATTTTTAAAAAACCAATAAACCTCCCTCCAACAAGACCTGACTGACCCGGTCACTTCAATTCAGTGTTGCAACTTTCGTCCAGTCAGTGCATATGACTGAGAAATAATTCCTAAGCAAATAAAAAGATTTTCCTGTCCAAAATACTCAAACAGGTCTTAAATTCTTTTATCCAGAATTGTAACCTAGATTCCAAATGAATGAAACCTGAAAAAATATTTACTCCAATTATTCACAACCGACACAGGCTTTTTGGTTGTGCTTAGCAGTTGAATGTAAATGCACATATGAAAACTTTTTCTCAACCAGATTTTTATGGTAAGCTACATCAGCGGCAATTAATTTTGTAAATAAATATAATCCATCAATATGGGTCAACAAACATTCAAAATTATGTTTTCATTTATAAATACCCCCACTCCCCAATGATTTGCAAGTAATTAATTTCTATAGGAGTTCATTACTTCTGATTAGAGCTAGCCAAGGCTTTCTGGAAAAATTGCAGTGAATTTCAACTTCTAACACTATATTTAATCTCTGAAATGAAACAACAGCCTTACTGGAATGTAAACAGCATTTCAAACTTGCTTTTGGATGTGCAGTCAATTTGAGGGCTTCCAGGTAATCTATTAATATTAGATTGGTTCCTGCTGCTGCCAAAAGGCTGGTGGATAAACCACTATGGAAATGAGCATAAAACAAGGGAGGGCAACACCCCTTTTCTCTAGATGGGGATATTAAGATCAAGCCCCAAAAGCACCTTAAATATATCAGGCAGTCTACACCCAGATAGAAGGTTAATGGTTGTATCAGAGTAACCAAGAAATGCCCTAAAGAGAACACCATAAGTATTTTGATTGCTTGTGGTTACAGTGTGATGAAAACTTTATAATTTGTACATACTCTGAAAACTTCAGAATGTATTCTCTGAGCAAGGTAACCAGAGAGCTGATAATTTGCTCACAAAGAGCTGTGGATAAACTGAACAGATATTTGAAATGTCCGACTTGCCAGTGTAGTTCATTCAGCAGTCAGAGCAAAGGGAAAAAAGTGGTACAGAGCCACAAGCTGATTGACTCCATCTTCTTGGCAGGGAAAAAAAGCTTTTTCTCCACTTGTCTTATTTTTTTATGTAGTAATTCAGTACAAAATCTCAGTACAATCAGACATACTTATTCTTCTAAAACAGTATTTTAAGATTTATAACCCTCTTGTTTATCATTCTAAACTGAAACAGATCTTTAATATAGTCTTTATTGTCAGGTTATGATTTCATTGAAGTTCCTAAACAAGGAAATATGTGGTTTGTGGTACAAATAAACATGCCCTGTGGTTCCATTTCTCTCCTGCTGGGACAAAAATCAGAAGAATAATTATGTTATCTTTTGTTAGTCTTGGAAGAATTATAATCAAATCTTTGCACCACCTAATTCTATGATGAATGACAAGATGTTTTCTAAATAAACAGTTGTAAAGGCCACATTCTCTTTTGAACTGGCATTTAGATATGAGCTAAACGGACACAGTCAGACTTTCTGTAAGTTTTATATGCAGCAGTTTTGTGTAAATTTAATTGCAGGAAGATCTTAATCTGTGAGACTTCATGGAGTTTATGTTGGAACAGAGTCCTCCTGACTATATGAATCAAATAATTGCTGATCCCACCAGAAATGTTCAAATTCTTGAAAATTGCATCCATTTCTATATCACAGTAATATAATTTTCAAAGTAGAGCGATGGCAGTTTAAATAATGTAGGCAATACCTAAAGGGTGAGTTAAATTTTTAAAGAGACAAAGCAATCTCTTAAAATACTGACAGTATTTTGATTGCCATTCTTTTGAATGCATATTTTGATAATTGCATAAAATCTACAATCTTCTGTTCTCGAAGATATAAAAGCTTTGCAAATCTGAATCTCTTAATCATCTGAATGAAACAGTTATATTTCATATTTTAAGATGCATCTGTTAAATTTCTCCTTTCCAAATCTGCTAGAAGACTTTAAGATCAAGAACATATTTAGGAGAAGAATATGAGCATTAGTAAATGAAATGTTCCCACATTACAGTTCGGGTCTGGATACTTGGGCAACATGAAAAAACTGTCACAGATCTATGCATAACATTTCAATGGAATCTACTGGATCACTTTAATCAAGCACAAAACAGGGATTGTAATTGACACACATGAATTTGGAACCCCAAATAGACAAAATCCTTCAACATCCAATAGTTAAACCAAACTGACAAAAATGTTACATTGTTTAAGAGTGATGTGATGCAATGTAGAGGATAATGGTTAAGCAAGAGCAATAACTTGGTATACAAATTGTCGCCATACTTAAACAGGCAGAAGCAGAGCTACGGTACCCCCACAGCAAACTGAAATTTCTCATACCAGAGCAATAAGTGATTTACAGTATTCACCACACCTGTGTGATATTTATCAAGCTCTTTGATTGTGAACTGCCACCAGACATGTAAGGGACTCTTATTAAGATATTAAAGTACTTTGCTGTTTTCATCATTTCTTCTCCTGTCAAAAAATAAACCCACATAAACTTTCAGCTTTGTATTTGTCCCACTGGTTGAGAAGCCATTAACTCCAGCAAAGATCTGAGGAAATGAGCTGAATTGATGTATGTGAAATTGCACTACTCAAGCAATCTGCTCTTTTCTGAGGCTGCTTCTTGGTTTAAAGTACAGCATGTCAGGACCCAAAAGACCCAGAGTGCTTAAATAATGCCAGGAAGAACAGTTTTAATGAGTTTTTGAAGTAAAAAAGAAGCCAAAGATCATACAGCAATCCTGAAGTATGTTTCTCAGAACTCACCTCTGTGAGGCAACATAAATTCTGCACTAATTACAAGCTCCTACAGGCTAGCGAGTCTCAAGCTGAGTTTGTGGCAGTAAAGCAGCTGTAGGTGAAAATGGGCCACCAGGAGAATGCTCAGTCCAACTTCTGCTGGAGGAATGTCTATAATAACAAATGCCTCATCGCAACAGAAATATTTGTCAGGAAGGTCTTTATAGCAGCTAGTTGTATTAAATACAATAGGAACAATAAAGAAAGTATGAGGACTTAATTTTTTCTAGACTTCACACTTAAAATCAATGATGCAAGTAAATTGCTTTAAGTGAATGCCATTCTTTAGAACCTCCACCTTCAACAGACTTAGACAACAAATGTGAGAATACATCAGCTACAGAATAATATTTGTGTTCTTCATGAAGGCCAGCCAAGTTGGACTGGACAGGATATGAACTCGCTAGTTTGGCAAGGAGGTACGTGTCAAGAATAGCTGTTATGTAAGAGCTGGCTTTATATTTTAGTTCCTCTGATATATTTGAATTAAGTAAATGGACTGGAAAGAACCTTTTAGTTTATTATCCTACCTGTGACAGTAATCCTTAGAAGATATTTAGGAAAATAATGAATAAAAAAACAATGCAAATGTTTTTCAGGGTCCTGAGGGAATCAATAGACCTTAACAGCCCAAAGCAGTCTCACCAGGGATGCGCACATACACAGTTGGCCAGTGGGTCCAGGAGCCCCGTATGGCTCACATGTGGAACTGCAGAACTCAATCCACATCACCTCAGGAGTGCCATTAATGGTGTTTTAGCCACCTTCCTTGACCCTTGCCCTTGTTCTTTTTAAGATAGCTGTACACAAAACACTTTAGAATCCTGGAACTATTGGAAACACATAAATCTGTTAAAATGATAAAAGAAAAAACATCTACTAAGCCTACATAAAGAAACTATTACTAGTGCCAAACTCCTAGCAGGTG